GGCGGCCAATTGCTGGAGCAAGAGAGACAAAGGCGGCAGTCCACCCCTGCATGCTCTGATTGCTCTGAGAGAGAGAGAGAGAGAGAGAGAGAGAGAGAGATAGGAGGGACGGGGGCCTCCTTTTGGCATGGCTGAACGTAGATTCTAGTAGCAGAGTGGTTGTGTGGTTGGTTTTGGCACAGGACGTCCAGTACAGAGGTAAATGGGGTCTCTATCAGCTCAGTGAGTTTTTCATTTAATTCAGATTCCCCGTGGTTTGAAGGAGTTTCCTCATGCATCATCTAATTTCAGAGAGTGATAGATAACCTCCAGTCCAAGCGAGACACACCTACAAGAAGTTTGTTTTATCTGTTCTCACTTTTTTTTATACATCTGTCATTTTTACTCAATAAAAGATAATCCTCAAATTCTTCATAATAACTGCTGTCTTTGTAATTCTGGCAGGTGTGTGATCCATCAGATAAACTAATTATTTCCAATAAAAGTGAAGGACAGGAGAAATGAGCGGCAGATTTTGCAGACACTCCAGGAAAATAGGGCTTCTATTGTCCAGGATTCTGACAAGAAGTAATGACAACAAATAAAAACGGCTTTGATTCGTCTTGATCCTCTCCCTTTCTTGTCGGCTCCTTTGCCTCTCCCTCGCTCTCTCTCTCTCCCACTCCCGACTGGGCGGATTTTGCCACGCTGTGATCCTCCTGCGCCTCCAGGCCCTCAGGTTATTTGGATATTGCGTGGAGTCAAAGCCCTGTCAATCAGATAAGCAGTGACCTCGCAGACCCAGCAGATAAGACGTTACATGGCAAGAGGAAACAGACAGACAGCGGGGGGGACACAACGCCTGACTATGAGGGCTCGGTGAAGCGAGACTGATCACAACGGCTCTTCAAACTCAAAAAAAAAGGCTGACAAGAACGATAAGATATTACTTAGAATTTAACTTTTTTTCTTTTCTCACATCGTCTGACTCTGATTTCCAAACTCTTGGCTTCTAAAAAGAAGAAAATAAATCCGTGTTTGTGAGGTATTGCACGTTTTCTTTCCAAAAAAGAACATTTGTATACCTTATTTAACAAAATCCAAGGAAAAGTGCATCAATTATGAGTTTTAATTATCATCTAAAATCATGCCAGATTTCAATAAATGGCTCCAGACTCACTGTTGTAGTTGGAAAAAGGCAAACTTGCCAGTCATTCCGTTACACTGGGAAATTACAAAAGGATGAATGAAGGGCGAGTCTTTGTTTAGGACGGCAGCTTTTTGGGTGGTCCCACAGGTTGGAAGCCCTCTGGGAGGGATCAGGGAGACCTCCACATGTAGCACCACATACGGCGACCTGTTGAAACAGGGTATAGACACTAATTCAGATGCAGCACAGCCACACACAACCAAGAATACATTTTTCTTTTCTTCTCCATTTAAAGATTTTTTTTCCACAAACTATTACTTTTTATTCTTTCCATGATTAAATAATTGAAAGCGTTTCTGGAAAAATAAACTGGTTCTCCTCCAAGTCTGAGTAAAAAAACCTCAATCTCACCGCTGTGAAAACCTGAATAAATACATCAAATACTGCAAAACACAATACAAACTGTTGATTTAATTACTATGGGCCTGAATACATAAGCCACATGATTATCTAGGGAAATGTTTGTGGAGCCCACACACTATTTCTTTCATTGCTTCATATTTAAAACATCGGTCTGGGAGCTGCCCAGGACAAACCACAGTCTTCTTAACTGGTGACCACTGAGCCACTGGGTGAGTTCTTTTTCTCAAGAGCCCCTCATGGTTGTTGTTCATGGAGGGGAGAGAAGTACTCATTCAAACCCCAACAGTGTGGGGGGGTTCAAACACTTCAGTCACAAGGGCTCCTCTTAAGTGAAAGACTTACTGCTGCAGAGATTAGATACATCAAGCCAATTAAAGACAGTTTTGCTTTTTTTTGTTGGGGAATGAAACACATATTTAGAACCTAATTCAGTTTATATTAACTCTCAGTGTGCATTGTCGACATCTAATGAAGTCTAATTCAATCTGAAGGCATGCTTTATTCTTCACTTACTTTGGTGTATCTGCCTGTTTGCGTTATTATTTGTATTTTTTTTACTATAACATTTGACCATGCCATTTGAACAGTCACTTTACTCAGGAATATGAATCAAACTCTGAAATAACTTTACTGTATTTATTGTGAGCGAACAACGCAGTTAGCTTCCTCAGGTTCGCTGCTCTAGGAGAAACGCGTTGTTCGCTCACAACAACAACAAAAAGTGAAGTTGAGGGAATGTGGATTGTACTCGGGCAGACTGTGTACATGTTTTTTGGTCTTGTCCACGTCTTGAGCCCTTCTGGATGTGAATCTATTAATCGCAGAGACTCTGAACATCACATTGGATTTCTCTTTCACATCCCTCTACTTCGGAAAAATTCCTGAAGGTCTTGGTAAAAAGGACATATACCTTTTAAAGATTCTTACGGTGGTTAAAAAAGCAAAATGTTTGCTTCAGAGGAACCCTCCTACCATGAGACTCTTGAGGAACATTGTGAATTCCATCAGCTTTATGGAAAAAATGACTTTTGTCCTGCGACTTCAAAAGGAGAAGGGAGAAGAATATTGGAGAAAATGGGATTTATACAAAGATAAAGACTCGTAAATATATCTTGTTTCATCAGAATGTACCATCCATTATGTACTGTACCTGTGCCTTTTACATTCTTGTATTTGATCTTATTCATACTGTCTTGCCCTAGTCCTCACTTGTTCTGTGTTTCTTGTAAAACAAAAATGAAAAAAAAGTATATAAAAAAAAAAAGGGAAGTTATTTCAAGTGTTCCAGAGTTTGATTCATTTTTCATGGTATGTTCCTGCAACCGTGCACACCAGAGAATGTATAGCCTGTGCACGGGATACCCTGTTAGCCGGTCATATGACTAACTCTTTGCTTTGCTCATTTATGCTTGTACAGCACTGATCAACTTTGCTTTTGACAAGTGCTCATTTTAAATGTTTATTTGCACCTTTTTTGGTATATGCTTAAAGTTCCATGTGTCATGTTGTGTGGCTTTGTGTCTGTTTTGCAGCATTTTGAAAGAACAAACAGATATGTTTTGATGCTTAATTGTTGACAAGACGTGGATGGGATCTGCATCGATGTGTCTGATGTAATCTTTGCATAGCTAACGGGATAGCGTGCAGTGTCGAGAGCGAGCCCACCCTCCATGATGCCTGAGTACTGTAGGTGTCAGGATGTCAAAAGACTCATGTTACAAGACCCACCGTGTTGTCTGCTGCAGAGGATTGTGGTTAAATATAAGTGTTTTTCCCACACTTCTGCTTTAAGCCTGAAACTACTTGAGGTGTGGTACTATTAGCACTCCCCACCATTCTTTTCACAGTTATATCAGCAGGGGTACCACATCATTTCTAAGATGATTTAGATCTGGGACAGTGCCAAGTACAGATTTTTCGTATCATAGCAGCAGGCTTCCAACACACCAAACAGCAGAAACTTTCACAGACTACATGATCCTTTTGTCTGAGTTATCAAATAAACACAAAAATGAATCAACAAATATACATAAAGCATGTTCTGTAAAAGTTTAAACTGGTTGAAGACGGGGGGGGGGGGGGGGTGTACAGAAGTAAAGCATCAGCTTGGTATACTACTGAATTCATTCTAACTATATCAAAACCCCCGAGTGACTGAACGCCACTGCCTGATGTGAAGATTCATAAATATCAGCAGAATACCAAAGGCTTCAAACAGATGAAGAAAGTGTGTTCCTGCAGTGCCCTCTATTGCCAAGAGAAGAGAAAAACTAAAAGGGTGAACAGAGTCCAACAAGTAGAGCTGCTTTGCTTCTCTGAAACCTTGAATTAGTGTTTAAGGCCTGACCAAATAAAGAGTAGCCTTAATGAGTAAACATTTCAAAATATACCTGATGAATCATAAAACAGACAAAGAGAGTTAATGTGAAACAGCGATCGAGGTGTCTGTTTACAAGCCTTAACTGCCCGGACTAGATTTAGATTTGTAAAAAACTGCTAATAAAAGGTCATTTGTTTTGACTTAAGGGTTAATTATTTAGCTTGTACACTCCTGATAATATTAACCTAAGATTGTTATTCATTCACACATCAGTCATAGGTTGACCTCCTTAAAAAAGGAAACTAAGTGAAGAAATCAATAATCATCAAATCAAAATACCATTAAGCAGCTAACCAGGGTCAACATTACTTATCATTGGGATCAACACAATTTCATGTTGCTTTTAAAGAAGATATGTAATCCTGTCTTGGCTGTTTTAGTGACAATGTCACCTTTAATGGATAGTTATGGCCTATTTAAAAGTTATACATTTTCTTTTTATACACTTTTTATTCATAGAGGACTACAAACGAACTGTAGGCTAGTGGTTAAAAATTCAGGAACCACTTGACAAAAAGATGATTTTAGTTTTCTTTACTCTTTCGTTTTTTTTAAAGTAAATTTAATTAGTTATTTAATGTCTGTTTTTTTTGATAATTGTATTCTTTTTAAACATTGCTAAAAAATGTAATTCATCTAGGGGTATTCTTAAATATTTTTTTATGGATTAATATATATGTATGGGACAAATGTAACAAATGTTTCATGTCATGTACGTCTTTGTAACCTACTACTGGATGTTTTGAATTTCCCTCAAGATCAATAAAGTATCTATCTCTCTATCTCTCTATCTCTCTCTCTATCTATCTATCTATCTCTCTATCTCTCTATCTATCTCTCTATCTATCTCTCTATCTAAATGTCCATTGGTGAGCATGGAGTGAGAACATTTTTTAAAATGTAATATGATATTTGTTTTGTGTGATGGTGAAGTGGCTTGTTATTATTAATACATTTTCAATCTTGACATTAATTTATTTATTTAACTTTTTTATATTTATTTTATATTTAGCAGTGACCTTAGACCCGCCTTCTTTGGCTTCCACAAATACAACATCCGCTTTACCCGGAAGTAAGGATAATTCCCAAAGATGGCGGAGCAAGGTCCGATGGCCATAGCGATGCGGCTACGAAACCAGCTACAGTCCGTCTACAAACTGGACCCACTGCGGAACGAGGTGAGCGGGCATGTTGTTGGAGCCCACCGGCGCTGGGGTGGGAGCCGACGGGGGGTCAAACTGCAGCAGAGGCGTGTTTAGACGCACGCATTGCCGGGAGATCGTTGTCGTCTCCGCGGCGCTGATTGAGAGAGGGAGAGGAGCCGCTTGTGCGCATGCGCAGATGGTGGGAGTCGACCCGTGTTGTTCTGTCTGAATAGCGGAGCAGCGTGGCCAAAACTCTGTTAACATATCGTTATTTTTACTCATATCAGGTGTCTTCATCAGGGTTCTAGTAGTCTACTCCCAGTTAAACCGTTTTTAAGTGATTAGCATCGGTAACCTTCGTGATTTATCCGTAACCGAGTGTAATCATCACGGCGGTGTTTCGAGCTGCCGTCCGGTTGTTTTCGACGACGCGTTTTTAACCGAAGTTAAAGGAGTTTGTTTTACTCAAGTTGTCCCTTTTTCGTTTGAGTCTGGTCATAGTTTACACCGTCTCTTCACAAACCAAGATTTCAGCTCGACCCACTTCTGTCCAAACATCCAGAAAGTCTGAATGAAAGTAAGTTTACGTCCAGCTTAAATGTTACCGGTGTTTCGGTTAAACAGGTGACCGTGCAGACTGGTGACTGACCGTCCTATGCGTGTTTGGTTGTCGTCATGACAACACGTGTTGAAAATTCTATTAACCCGAACGCCTCTTTGTTTAGTTCTTGTCTAAATGTCAGATATGAGTAACAGATAAGATTAATATGTTATCTAACAATAAAGATAAAACTTTATTGATCCACCATGGGGGACATCTTTGCGTTACAGCAGCTCCAGAAAACAGGAATATAATTATTAAAAATAGAAGTTAAAAATCAAACATACTTGCATCAGTTAAATAAAAAAAAATACAATAATAGAATATTACAAGGTATCTACACTTCCACTTGTGGAAAGAGTTATTGAAAAAATAAAGCAGTGGCGATTTTGGAGTCTGCTGGGTCCTGAGGCAAATATTCCCATAACGTCCCTCCAACCAGGAAAATCACCATTATGTTATAATTATTAATGTTATAATTAACTTGCATGCTAGCCGAAGTTATGTTAATCAAGTGTCTCTCTCCCACATGTTTAGAGCTAGATAAGCAACATTCAGTCATTTACTTTTCTATGGTATGTGCTGTCATGTGGGACAGCACCCCTGACAGCACTTTGCACATTCTGAGCCGCTGCTGTGGTTTAAGTTTTTCATCCCCATAAGGTCCCCTACTAACCTAAAGGCTTCAAGCAGCACATCTGCACAACATCTGCACAATGGCATATTACCTGAGCACTGTAACCAATCGTACACTTAGAAAAGTCCTGATGATGCACAAACTCTGTGTGCACAGTCCGGACGAGACTGGATGGAGCTCCACTTCATCACATCATGCCCCAAATCCAAAACTGTATGAGAGAACGCAATACTTCCACCAAACTACACACATACATCCTGAATTTGAACACACATAAAAACTTGGCTGGGAGAAAAAAAACAGAATGTGAGATTATAACTGTGAAATGTATCGCGAACTAGAGGAACCTGAACACACACACACACACACACACACATTTTCCAGATTGATCAGATTTCTTATTGTTGATTTTTCCATTATAAGTATTAATTACTGTTATTATTGCATTCTTTGTTGTTGTATGCTTTGGCAAGTTTGTCACATTCATACCAATAAAGCTTTCTAAATTTAACTGAATTTATATTGAATAAAAAAAACGAACTTAAGATGCATTCGCGAGGACTCTTAAAATGTTGTATCCACGACAACCAAAGACGCATTCGGCTGAAAGTCCCCACTTAAAAAGGGTCGCTGGTTAAACACCGGTCCTCCTGGTAGAGAACCTTTTGAATTTCACAAAGAAGTGAGTGACTGATTAAAATTCAACAGTCTCGGCCCATATTATTGTCAACAGGAGCATAGTCAGCTGGTGCGGGGGCTGCAGCGTGACTAGAAGGACACCATGTTTTTCTTTTTACTGAACATAGCTGTCAGGTTGTTCATTTTAATGCTCGTTGTGTTTCTGACGCATTCATTTTTTTCTGTCCTAAATCACAGTGAGATAAATATTAGTCATAGCTTGAATCATTATTTAGAGGTGCTGCTTATCCACATTTTTTTTTGCCTAGGAGGAGGTGAAGTTGAAGATCAAGGACCTGAACGAACATATCGTCTGCTACCTGTGCGCCGGTTACTTCATAGATGCAACAACAATAACGGAGTGTTTGCACACCTGTAAGTTTAATCGGAGCTTGACACTGTCATCATCTGCTCTGCTGTTGTTGATTTAAAGTTTTTCTGCCATCTTCTGTCATCAGAATGATAACAAGAATTTTCTTCTCCACAGTCTGTAAAAGTTGTATTGTGAAGTACCTGCAAACGAGCAAGTACTGTCCCATGTGCAACATCAAAATTCATGAAACGCAGCCTTTACTCAACCTCAAACTGGATCGAGTGATGCAGGATATCGTCTACAAACTGGTGCCTGGACTGCAAGAAAGTAAGTTCTCTGTACATAAAACAAGAGGTCCCAACATCACAGTCAATATTTGAACATTGAGTTGAACACTGTTTTGTAGCATGTTGAAGTGTTTATAGTTTATCACTGTCAGCCATGTTTGTCTAATCTCCATGTTCATGTTTGAACAGGTGAAGACAAAAGAATAAAGGAATTTTATCAGTCGCGTGGGTTAGAGAGAGTCATCCAACCGTCTGGAGACGGTAAGTCATTGATGTGGCCTGTTGTTAAGTTTGTTTTGGATAAGACCAGAGAGGAAACTGGGTCGGGGGTTTTCCTGCTTCTCCATGTGTCATTTTGCATTGTTCCTTTTCTGACTGTGTTTCTGCAAAAGTGCCAAATCTAAAGCTCGGTCATCATCACATCTTTGTACATTCATATTGATTCTGCGACAGAGTAATAACGGTGTCTCCCCGTCTGTGAATTCACACTGCCTTTTGGAGTTGTGGAAGAGCGGCACAGCTGGAGCTCCACATACACACACACACACACACACACACACACACACACACACAGTCAGACATTGTTCAACTTTTTTGAACTTACATTTGTACATCGATGTTGTCCAATACTAAAAGAAGCTGTGAGTGCAAAAATGCCTTATACAAACATCTCGAAATGATAAAAATAGTGATATATCTCTACAGCTTTTAAGCTATCTACAGTTTAGGCCGAACTCAAAACAAGAACACAGATTATAAATGTGAGTGGGTTGATCACAGATACAGCTCTCTTCCTTTAAAGACAAAGCATTCCCATTCCCAAAAAACACCAGACCTGTAATGAAGTAGTTAAAATGTACTGTATTCATTGATGACACAGATTTGTACCTCAGGTGTGCGTTTTCTAATACATGAAACAAACTTTTTTTCTGTGTTTGGTCTTGAGTTTATAGTTTCTGTCCGGACTACAATGCAACTGATATATTTGTGCTTTATTTGTGAATGTTAAAACCATTTTTAATTTGACTTCCATTGCAGACGCTGTACCCGATGCCACAGGTTTACCGTACACAAGCTTCGACCATTCAAAAGCACACTTCTACAGATATGATGAGCAGGTGTCACTCTGTTTAGAAAGACTAAGGTGAGCTTTTCTCTTGTCAACATCTTTAACCCTCATGAGTCACTATGGATATTTTTGTCCATTTGGTCAAATGTTTCCTCTTTATCTGGCCATCATTTTGTCTGTGTTAGTGTACATGGCGCACATTTGTTTGTAGAAAGTCTCTCTTGACACATTTTGGAAGGCACTTTTTTTTTTTTTTTTAATAGATCAATAGAACACTGTGACACATGTTTAAGGACAAAAGTGTCAACTTACAAAAAACTGTTATAAAAATAGAACAGATTAATATTTATTTTTACTTTTTTCTGCATACCTCTCTTAAACAACTTCAGCCCTGCTCAAAACTACCAAACATTCAATCATTTTTTTAGGAATTTAACCCTTTAAATGCCGGTTTGATTACTTGATGTCACTGTTGTTGTTGCTGTTTATGAAAAAAACACAAAAATTAGTTATTTTCCATAAAACTAATATTTGGTGGCTGGGGATTGTTTTTTAAAATCAGTTTTGGATATGTCAAAGATTATCCAAAATATTGACTTTGATGCATTGTTAGTTTTTGTGTAGCGTCAGATTTAACATATAGTTCCCTGTTTGGACATTGGCGGGCGAAAATGTCCAATTTAAAAACCTACTATAAAAATAGAACAGATGAATATTTTTTTCTACTTTTTTTTGCTTAAATCTCTTAAACAACTCCAGCCCTGCTCAAAACTATCAAATATTGAAGAATTATCAGGAATTTAACCCAATAAATGCCAGAATCATGTAATCAAACTGGCATTTATAGGGTTAAATTCCTGATAATTACTAAATGTTTGATATTTTTGAGCCAAGCTGAAGTTGTTTAAGAGATTTATGCAACAAAAGGTAGAAAAAAATATCAATCTGTTCTATTTTTATATCAGTGTTCTTGGTATGGACATTTTTGTTCTTAGTGATTTAAGAGGGTCATAAATTAAACTGAAGCCTGAGGGTTAATCTGTTTTGAATTAGTCAAGTAAAGGAGGAAGTAGCCGCAACATTATCAGACTCCACAGTTCAACCAGTCTCTGATGACGCGTTTTGTCTTTAACAGTTCATCGCTTGCTGGAAAAGACAAGACGAAACTCACGCTCCAGGTAAGACCAATACTCTGTCCAAGATGTGTTGAGCACATTGCACTTTAGGAACGTTTCACTGTTGATGCTTTTTTAGCAACTCACATCTCAGGTTTGCACAACCGTGGGAAACGTGTCTCCTGGGATCATTTTTTCTCTGCCTTAACGAGTCATCTTCTGCCTCAAACTGCTAAACAAATACACGGCACAATGACATCTGCAGCACCAGCAGAAATCAGCCCTCACAGCTGGTTACTGCGGCTGCCTCAGACTAACAGAGAGACGGGGATAAATACACCACAGAGGCATGTCATCATTTTTAACTTCCCAACCAAACTGCTCATTTTTTTCTAAACTGATGATTTCTTTGAGTAGAGATTTTTGGTGTTTTTCAAACATTGAGGCACAACTTGAGGTCAGATTGCTAACATGTGACTGAGTGTTTTATCATTACGGACCGACTCTTGGGGAAAAGTTTAAATCATTTATGAAACAAAATCTCTCACAGGAGTTTCTTTATAACCATCAACATATTCCAAATCCTTTTTGTATGAATGAACTTGGGCACCAGACAGTTAAAAGGCTGTTGGACAGATTGTCATTTAGATTAAGCTGACAGTCTTCCACTAATCATTAACTTTAATTACTCTTTCCCTGCATGAAAAACTCCTCAAATGTAGCAGAAAAGAACAAGAAACAAAACATACAAATGCTGAATTTAACTCTGCAAACTGTTAAATTTGATTTGCTTGTGAAAGAAAGACCAATTCTTTTTAACTTTTTGGTTCTTAATACTTCTCTGTTTTAGTGTCTTTATGCTTATTGTGTTTCCACCAGTCAGTTAAATAACATTTACACTCCGGCACATTAAATACGCTCTTTTGAAAAGTGCTTGCTAACTAATATGAAACCCACTAAGCTGCGAATAATGCCGAGCTCGTCCGTTATGGGAAGTTTTCCACACCGTGGCTGAATCCTCTTGACAGGCTCATTTGTCAAATGTGTGTGAGTGTGAGTGTGTGTGTTAACGAGGGTAGTGGGATTGTATAATGGACATGCAGAATAAAAACTTAAACACACATCACAGGGAAAGCAACTTATCTAAAAGTCACTGAATACATCAAATTTCACTCTGCTATGAGCTGTACTTCTTCTTACTGCAGTGACTTTGGTCGGCCAGCAGAGGGCGCCATTGTTTAACAAAGTTGGGGCTCAAATCATGTGTTTATATTTTAAAGATTTTGAGAGGCTTAACCACCACTCATTGACTGTATATATGTCAAGAAAGAAAGAAGTTTTAAATGCTAGATGAGATTCTTTTATCTCACATGTTCTGAGTCAGAGTTTTATTCTAACCTATCAGTGTCCTGTTGTCTGGGCTCTCCACCTATGACATGAACATTAACAAGTCATACAAGACATGAGTTTTGGAGTTCTAACAAAGTGATCAGGTGACAGCAAGAACGCGCATGTCCTCTTTGACCTGTTGATGGAATCAAAATGTTGTTTATTGTTGTCTAAAGTTACCCGACGTAATGGGAACATGCAGTTTCGTCGGTTTAATTCCTGACCTCTCTTGATATGCAGTAACCTCGGTGTGAACCTGTGTAACGGGGGGGGGGGGTGTTATGTCTGATCATTTTGCCAAGCATGCTCTGTCCACGCTGCATTCTGGGTCTGAATTAGACCTGTAACCTCTGCTGCACGCTGTTCTCTGTCTCCTGCTTGTTCATCATAATCCTCTGTTTCTACAGAGGTGAAGACGCACTGAAATATATTTCTGTGTCCCCCTTAGATACCGACTGTCTTACACTTCATTCAGGGAGTAAAGAAAGTTTAGCTCTGTGGCTTCAGCATGTGCAATAAGTCTATTTGGAGCGGGAAATGTCGTGCAGTAACTCGAAAGTTTTTGCTTCTTTGTAAATCCAATCCTAACAGGAGCAAGCCACATCCTGTCGACCTTCAGTTACCATTCCTTCATGTTTGAATGGTTTTTAGTCGAGAAGCTTTTAGAGATCATACCTGTGGCACTTGGATACTGTGAACTAAGCTAAACCTTAAAATAGAGGTCAAGGGCTGCAGCCTCTTTTTTTCAGTGTTACACCCAAAACTATAGAGGGGCATTAATAACATCACCACCATGGTACAGTTACAGGTGGAAAACAAACAGGGAGTAAATTGGGCAGTTTGACCTGCAGTATAAACAGGAAGTGAACAAGAAATGTCTCTGTTAGCTCCTCTGTGGTCTCATGAGTGCGGTCTATCAACACACATGTATAGCTGCTTTGGGATGTATTTGAACCTCCCTCATGTTTTGCGTTGCTCAGGTTAAGTTTTACTGAATATGTTTATTTCTGTTTGACCTTTTCCTCTGCAGCAGAAGTTTGTCCGCTGTTCGGTCCGAGCGGAGGTGAGACACCTACGGAAAGTCCTCTGTCATCGACTAAACGTGGAGAAACACCAGGTACCTATGCCTAGTATTATTTTACCTTTTATTGTAATTTCTTGCTTTATTTAATTAATGTAAATATGTTTGTTTTTTAACTTACATTTTTACAAATTATACTACTTTTTTTGAGCTGTTGTAACAAAGAAATGTATTCCCAATTGGGGGCTCAATAAAGTTTATCTTTACCTTACGTTTGTTATCATGCTTGATTTAAAAAAAAAAAAAAGAGACATTCTGTTCGAACCAGTGTTACAAAATATGCTCATGATGAATGTGGTGTGCTGCATCATCTCTTCAAAAGACAAAGTACGTCTGCTGTGGAAGAAAAGAGAGTAGATTTTAAAATGCGGACACCAGAATATTATCTGAATATACACGACCAGTCAAAAGTTTGGACACACAATAGTAACAGTATTATCAATAATACAGTATATTATTATAATATAGCTACTGTAAGCTGTATCTAAAGCATATCTACTCATAGAAGGATTTTTGTTTATTTTTACTATTTACCTCATTTAAGAATAAGAGGAGGTATTAAAACAATACAAATAAAACATTTCATTTTTGTTGTGCATACATACGTAGACATCAACTTCACTATTTCTATTTCTATAAGAAACACACTGAAGCCTTCAGATCAAAATGTCTCTGAGATAAGAACATGCATTTCAATGAGGTGTGTCCAAATGTTTGACTGGTGCTGTATGTAAACACACGCTGCATTCAAAACAACTAATAATGACTAATAATCACCCGTCAAATGTTCAATCATTCAGCAAACAGGACTTTAGTGATGCGGTGTGTTTAATGCTATGTAACAAAGTAAAGTTGCAGTTGAAATGTATTGAATGTATCAAATCAAACTGACGACATCAAAACTACATTTGATTGTGGTGCAAGTGTAACTCATACACAAGAGGGAAATGTTGTTGTTGTTGTTGTTTGTTTAATTAGTCAGAAACGACTGAAGAGCTCGGATCAATCCAAACACTTTGAGTGACTCCAATCAGTCGCTCCTGTTTGATCGATTTGACCCGCTTCGTCTTCAAAGTGTCTTTAATAGTCACAAAATAAAGAAAGTGTCACTTCCTTGTTGATGTCAGCTGTGTTTCCATGGTGACGACATAATTTCTGTTTTTTAAGTGAGTCATTCATACAAAAAAAAAAAGTTGTTTTCTTATCTTCTTACTCGAAGCTGCACACACGTTTCATGTGTAAAGGTAAGCACAGATGTTCCTTTCAGGTTTCCCCTTCACACCCGTTTGTGTTCTCTCCTCACAGGTCCAGATGTTGTTCAATAACGAGTCTCTGCCCGATCACATGACCATGAAGCGGTTATGGCTCTCACACTGGTTTGGAAAGGTACGGTGCAGAAACTGTTATCTTAAACATCTCCTCTTTCTCCTCTGGACTATGACTCTACTTTCTACTCCAGCTTTCACTCAGAGAATTAACATCAAGTGCTCTAATGAAGTGTGATGGGTGACCTGTAACATGTGACCTGTGTTCTCCCCTAGGCCCAGCCGTTAGTGCTTCACTACACCATCAAGGACAAGCGGAGCAGATAGGACTTGTTTTCACTCGGGGGGTCGGCTGTACATATTTTGTACTATACATATTCTATTTTAATAGTGTTTGTGTACATATACTTATTTTCCTTGTTTTGTATTTTTGAAAATAAATTTAAATTTGAAATAATAACCGTTTGTATTACTTGCTGAAATAATTGTTTTTGGGTATAATTTACTTACTGCTTGTACCACTGGTATCAATCAATAATTAACATAAAAAGTGTTGATTGAAAATAGGTTTCAACACAAGCAGTTAAAAATATTACCAATGGCTGCCTCCATCTTTATCACACTAAAAAAGAATAATTATCCTTTACTTCATCCTTCTTATTTTAAAAGTCCTCAGGTTTTCAACATTTTGATACCTTTTGGATACCATGTTTCAAATGATACCAACGCTAAAGAAGAGAGGCGGCTCAGAGAGGAATGAATCCATCCAAAATTAGAAGAGAACTCCTGCACACTTTGTAAATTGCACAAAAACATCTGCAATATTGAAATGTTCCCAATTTTTATGGCAATGTAGACAGTGTGCAGGAGTTGAATTGCAATATATATGATGAAAAACACAATTCCAAATATTGGGCGTCTAGGACTTCTGTTTTTGTTGCTGTGGTATCCAAAAAATTCTGGATAGCTTTGATAACCGTTAAAATTCTGATATCGTAACATCCCTAACATAGTCCTGCATACACATGCTATATGCACCTACAAGATGTCACACTCTTGAATCAACATTACGATTAACCTTTAAAATACTTCCACTCGAGATCTCTTCATCTAGAACTAACGTCTTCTGCTTTGACTCTTGTTGTCTTTCCTTCAAAAACATTTTGTTACAACTCTGCAGTTGTAGTTAGAGCCCGACCGATTAGTCGGCCAGCGGATAATATCGGCTGGTATGATCTTATCATGTGACTATCGGTATCGGCTACTTTGTTGCAGATATGAACTGATAGTTGTAGATTTATTCAACAGTCAGTTACACTAGTACTTCTCTTTCACCAGCAGAGGGCGCTATACGGATTACAACAAGCATCAACACTCTCTAGAGTGTCAAGCATCTTTTCTGCATTAAATATCTATAAGTGTTGGATAACTGCATTTGAGGGGTCAATGCAATAAATATGTTTATTTTTTATCTATCAGATAAAAGCCAATTTATCAGTATCAGATTTTTTTTTTCTCTCCCTAATAATGATTTCTGTATCAGACACAAATATCCCATATTGGTCGGGCGTTAGCTGTAGTATGACATCATCCCCCAAATAAACTTGCAACTAAAAGGTAATCTGTAGTGAAAGCACCTTTTGGTCGTGCTCTAAATCTTGAGTTTGGAGCTTCATACCTCTGCACACTTTGCATTTTTTCCCCCTTTTCTTTTTGCTGAAATGTGCTCGGTCTCTCCTGAGTTTGACGGGGATTGTGAGAGAACAGTAATTTAAAAGTCCTGACAGAAACGCTGGACTCCGACTTGGCCGGTGCTGGTTGTTTTGAAGCCATTACCTGTCAGCTTTGGCTTATCTTTCGGGTTATTGTCTTACTGCAGAATAAATCATCTCCTCGGTTGCAGTTGTCTTTGGGTCTGCAGCGGGATACACTGCAAGGAATGTCATCTTCTCCTCCTCTGGGGCCGGCTGCTGGTTGCTTCCATCTTCCAGCTTTGACTCTTTGTGTGGTGGTGGTTTGATCACACCAGACATTTTGGTCAGAAAAATTCACTTTTCATTGGACCACAGAGCCGTCGTCCTCCTTGTTTGAACGCCCTCGTCAGCGAGTACAGCTGTGACTGCAGCAGTATTTTTTATTTTTTACTCTTTCCTCGACCATGTAACTCATCGCTCCTTCTGCGTCCGCACACATCTCTTGGCAGCCTCAGTCACTTTGTGCTCGTCTCTCAGAACACTCGGCCTGCTCGAGGGCAGATTTACGACTTTGTCATGCTCGGTCCGTTTTTATAATCCACCGCACTGTAATCCAAGAGACGTTCAGGGACTTGGACGTTGTCTTGGATCTTGTAACTGAGCGGTGTTATTTTAGTGAAGATGTCACAAAGTCAAATGTTTAACTTCTTTAAAAAAAGGATTAGTGATGATTATCATTTTAAAGAAAGGTGGGTTAATACTAATGCGTCATTAGACTTTTATTGTTGTGTGAATTCAAATGTTCCAAAAGCGTAAAATACTAAAGGAGGTACGGGCTTTTTGTTCCACCAGTAGTGAAACATACCACAGAATCACTGATATTCCAAACGCTGATATTAAAAAATAAACTCCAAGGAAGGTGAAATCTTTTTATAATTGAGAAAACAAAATCAAAACAATCAAACAGAACAGCTGATCTGAACCTCTCGCATGTTGAGATAGTCAAATACTGTTTCTAGGGTTGAAAGTTGAACTCTCAGTTTCCACTTTTTGTCTTAATCTGTCTCCACCTAACAAAGGTCGCTCTAAGGACAGTGAGGTCTAAAGCAGTGGTTCTCAACTGGTGGGTCTGGACCCAAAAGTGGGACGTGAATGTGTCCCTGGAAGTCAAACAGTCTTTGCAGCACTTTTTAAAACATGTTATTTTGTTCCGTCTCTTTTTGTACCGTCCGAGCCGAGGTCCAAACTGCACCATTTTTTTAATGAAACAAATCTCATTGGTTGAAAAATATCAGAAATTTGGGTTGTGATTTCTCATTGAGCCAGAGCCACTGATCTAAAGGAATGGTGAAGGAAGCATCATATTTAGCATGTTACCTTTGTATTAGAGGCAACGTGCACTTAGGCTAATAACTACATGCATTGTACCGTTGACATGAAGGGTAACTTCAGCTCTTATTTAAAACCTTTCTAGGCTTTGAGGATCTAAAAGGACAAAGAAAGACGACTTGCAGCTCTAAGATCTACAGTTCTACAATTCACTTAGCAGACGCTTTTATCCAAAGCGACGTACATCAGAGAGTAAGAACAACACAAGCAAGGATCTAGAAAAAAGGGAACAATGTCAGTAAGAGCAAACGATCAGCTTTGAGTCTGATTGGACACACAGGTGCTGACAGGAAGTGACCAGAGGCAAAGCACAACATTGAGAGCAGTTCTTGAGAGCTCTAATCAGTATAGAAACCATCTTATAAGTCGTCGTTATCAAACAAAAACCATCGTCATTACCATCATCATCATCAATAATATGGAGACCATCATCATTAAGTTAGTAGGTATTCATGAAAGAGCTGGGTCTTTAGCTTTTTCTTAAAGATGCAGAGGGACTCTGCAGATCCAATGGAGTTTGGAAGTTCATTCCACCACCGGGGGGCGACAGAGGAGAAGAGTCTAGTCAGCGTCTTAGGACCCTGTTGTGAAGGTTGGATCAGACGCCTTTCATTGGCAGAGCGGAGTGGGCGGGAGGGAGTGTAGACCTGGATCAGAGTTAAAGTAAGGAGGAGCCTAAAGTTTGATCTCTTGAAGGCGACAGTCTGAAAACGATAGAACCTTTAATTTGATTAAAAATGATCAATATGATATTTCATTAAAGCTTTAGCCCTGCCTTTAAACTCCAACATCTTTCAAATGCCAAACAGGAGTCCATTACTTTGTGGTTTGCATGCTTAAACAGAAAGTCTAAGTTCTGTGACATGTTTTCAGAAAACCTCCACGGCCACAGAAGGTGTCATGGCTGCCGTCCTCTCTACACAATAGTAGACTCAGCATCATGTGTAAAAAGCAGTGGAGCGAGTTAGACGCCACAGAATGTAAAAATGCAGCTCAAGCCAGCTGGCACTGCACCTCGTCTTTAAAATGTTTATGAGACACACTGACCGACCGTCGTCATGTTTTATTGAACTTTTTAGAGGCTGTATAAAAAGTATGCGGTGGATTACTGCAGTCTGAACTGTAAAGTATGATGAAGCCCCAAAACATTCATATCTATGCACAAACGTAACTGACCATCTCTCTGTGTGTAAGCAGCTCTGCTTAGCATTCAACACCGCTCCCTGATGAGCACTAGGTGGCGCCCTTGGTGCTCTTTTCAGCAGCAGAGGCAGCAGGCACCTCAGGCTTTGATGTGTGTGATCTTGTCCAGAGTGAAAGCAAAGACTCTGATAACCTGACACAGGCTGATAGTACAGACAGCACGCTGCAGCAGCCACAACATTTAAAACAGGGGAGCATCTTTAATCTCCTTTTCAGAACATTGCCTTATGGGTAATAAAACAGTAAATGTGCTTACTGAATGTTTTATATTAATGTCGTTAAAATAAAACCAGTGTGTGTTTCTACACAACACTAATATAAGGGTTTGATGTGTGTGTGTGTGTGTGTGTGTGTGTATGTGTATGTGTGTGTGTGTGTGTGTCGTAAAGGTCAAACGCTACAAATGGAGTTTAAATTTCATATGAAAGACGAGCATGTGTTCATCAAGGGCGAATCAGTTTAACATTTTAGTGCAAAGGTCAATAACCCTGAACGAGGCTCTGGATACATACTGCTTAGATATTTTATAAATAAAGGAATGGTATACCTTAAAAAGTTAAAAGGAAGGTTGAGGGCTTAATATGTTGCCTACTCTTAAAAACAAATTTCAGTGTTGTTAGAAGAAAAGAGGGGTTTAAAATATTTTCCCAGTAACCTTAATATCATCCTGAATTTAATTTAAACCTTCCAGATAAAGTCCCTGTGGTCATGTTTTTAAATAAGGAGTGAAATAAATCAGATGGAAACTGACACACAATTCAGCAGCACTGTGACACACACACACACACACACACACACACACACACACACACACACACACACACACACACACACGCATGCATTATGGTGTATACATGTTACCCCTCCAGCCATCTTTAGAAAGCCTGTGTAAGTCCCTTCAGGACATTTAAATGATGAAGAAACAATAACCCCCTAAACGCGTGACCTTTAGGCCGAAACAGAACATTTCAACATCCAGTCCATTTTGTTTTAATAAAATAAAATCCTGATCTTAGAGAACCTGCGCGTGCTTGTGTGTATAATATGGTAATGTGACTTTAAATGGCACCTTCCATTCAAAGAAAACCATTTATGTGGAAGTTGTGTCTCTTGTTTATATAATAACTCAATGTGGGACGTTTACAATAAGACAATTTGACTGTATTTTAGATCTCAAAATTAGAGAGAGCGGGAGGTCAACGTTCATTTTGAAATAAAACAGAAACTCAAACACAAGTGGGATGTTAAAGTCATGCATGTTGTTCAAGGATTAAATTAATATATATATAATATTAATAATATTAACAGCCCGAGGAGACTGTGAGGTTCCGTACAGACGCACTACATTCAGACTGTTCTGTCAGTCAAAGGAACTAAATATTACTCACAATAAGAGACTCACAAACATATGCAACCTTCAAAACACACCTCAAACAGTGGATAAAAGAAAACCAAGTCTGTGACTACCTTTAACCTTTAACCTCTATTATTGTCTTGTGTCACTTGTGCCTTTGTGTTTGTATTTTATTTGTAATTTGTCTTTCTCTGTTACCTGGCTAGGGACAGCAGATGGAAACTAACACTTCTGCTATAATCTGGCATGTTTACAGCTGTTCATTAATATGCACTTTCCCTAACAAATAAATAAATAAAAAATATATATTGTCACGTTTTTATTGTATTTAACCCGGTTTGTCCCTGAACAGAGATATTCTCTCCTGTCGTTTTTACTCACTGAATCTGAATCAGGCAGATCTCTCCCCTCTCTGACTCCTCTGTGTTGTCCCCCTGCTCTCTCAGTCCAGAGAGGCTCCTACTTGACTTTTCAACCTCCACGATTCCACGCGATTACTTCTTTTGTGCGCGGTTTCTTTACCCTCCATAAAAAAGAAAGAAAAGAAAATCTGTTCTAACAAGACCTTAACTTCAGTCCTGATAACCTCATTTTGAAAGAGACGTCTTCATTTAAATTATTTTCTGAATATTTGAGGGAAAACTACAAATTAAAACTATTATATATCCTAATATAATGATTTGTTACAATGCACCTTCAAAATACGATAGAACACTGAAGCAAACTTTTCGTGTGGAGATTTCAAGCGTCAGTATTTTACGACAGGAACAGATTTTTTTTTTAAATGTGAAAACTTTAAAAGTATTAAATAATTAAAACTATAAAAAAAATCATTTGAAATGTCTTGAAAGCTGGAAACACAAATTAATCTTTTCCTAAATCACTTTTAGAGGATTGATAATAAACAAATAAAAACAAGGTGAAGAATAAAACTTGCTTAATGGGAGAAGTTTTGTTTTTTGGGTTTATGTGCGCAAAAATAAAATAAATGAGATGAAATATGGTTCATGATTAACACCAGTGTAACCGTCTTGTTTGTTTTTATATTAAAAACATTTTAGCACTTATCAGCTACTACGATAACACACCCCTCCTTCCTCACAAACAAACACACTTAACACACTTAACACACACACACACACACACACACTCGCGTTATAAAACAGTTACAAATGGCCAGCAGCAGAAGCAGCACGTCGCATTTCCACAGCCTCCCATTGAGCTTTATTCATTAGTTCCCTCACACTAACACATTTGCTATTCATGGGGGAGACTGTTTTCTCCCTTTTCCAAACAAACCCGGGTTAAGAGTGGCAGATGCGTGCCATTATTGCGCGCGGCTCGCTGGAAGCTGAAGGCGGGTTAACCTAATCAATCATGTCGACTAGTTGTGTTAAAAGACGATTCCATGGACGGAGGAAGAAAACATATGGTCGCAGGGGAGGGTGCAAGCTTTTTCTTTTTCTTAACACCGCGGCCAGACCGGGACCTTCTTGTGACAAGATGCATTCAAAGCGGGCGAAAGAATGGGAAGAAAGGCGACGGACGGCTGCTAATTGAAGTCACGGCACTTCAGGCCTGAAAGCAAGGGGTCAAATACTCAAAAGGGCCACATTTTTCTTTTTACCAAGCAGGGCAGGATGAATATTTTAAATATGTAATCCGTCTGTTATATTCTTATAAAAGTCACATTAGTGTAACTCTTTCTAAAGAAATCTAAAGCGTGTTGTTGTGCTTACAGTCACGCTATATTATTTATTTAATATTTACTCTACTTTATATGAAATTACAAGTTTGTGGTCATCTTCAGTACAGCTATTTAACCCTCTAATGTAGCTACTGTCACTTTAAATCATTATGCTGTAATAATAATGTTCCTTTAGGGATAAGTCACCCTTCACATGTGGCTTTAGAGTTATTGTTTTTGGTAATTTTCTGCACAATCACACATCCAACTGCGCCGACAGCTTCTTGAAATATCATATAACCTTTATTTACATAGATGCTGATTAAATAGAATGTTACAATAAAATTATCGCATATGATGTCTGGTATATATACACATAAGTCAGAGCGTGGAAACGTGGGGATAAGGATGCCTCCTCCTGCGCTGAGAAGTGGCCTGCATGCTTGCAGAAACACTTCTCGCTCAGAACAAAACCAAAATAAAAACTTTACACTGCATGTAGGAGGGACACACTGACACCTCCTCCGCGGGCTGAAGGGGGGCTCATTGACATATTTGGCAGATCCGAAGAATGCGAATAAAATGACACTAAAATAATATCACAACTTCCCATGCCCCCCCCCCTCTCTCCTCTCCTTTTTAAAAATGAGTGTGAAAAATTCAAACGTTTACACAGTTTTTCAGTCTCACAGTACCATAAGAGTCAGGCCTGTCTGCAAAGGGGAACCGGATATTCCTCAAATATTGTGGTGAGACTTAAACGACAGACTTGGAAAGCTTTACAAGTCCTGGTAATAAATTAAAATGGAGGAGAGAAAAAAGAGAGAGAGAGGAAGGGAGGGAGGAGAGAAAAAAATCTCAAATTGTTTTTTTTTTTTTTAAATGTGTAAATTCTCCTTTCTCGGTCAGTATCCGTGCAAAAGTTTGGGAAGAAAAAAATGCCCCCTTTTTTTTATATTCTTTTGTTGCTGCTTATGAAAATCGCAGGCCAAGTGACTGTCAATCGTCCACCTCGATTTCCTCGTCGTCCTCCGAGAACTCGTCCGTGGTTTGGTCTCTGGAGGAGGAGGGGGACTGTGGGAAGGCTCGGTGTCCTTGGGAGGTCGGGGAGATACTGGGCGATCTGGCCTCGGGGCCCCCGACCTGCTGGGCATCGTCAATGTTCTCCATGCTGACGAGCTTCTCCAGGGTCTGCGGGGTGATCTTCTTTAAGGACTCCACGTCCGCCTTCATCTCCTCCAGGTCCCGCTTGAGTTTGGCCCTGCGGTTCTGGAACCAGGTGATGACCTGCGCGTTGGAGAGGCCCAGCTGCTGCGCGATCTGGTCTCGGTCGGCCGGAGACAGGTACTTCTGGTACAGAAACCTCTTCTCCAGCTCGTAAATCTGGTGGTTGGTGAAGGCCGTCCGCGACTTTCTCCTCTTCTTCGACGTCTGTCTCTGCCCGAAGGCGTTCACGTGTTCGCGACCTTGGAGAGGAAAACACACAAGACGCATGAAAACAACCGCAAAGGGCCACTTTCCCCCAAAACTACAGCAGACACACATGGCACTGCGCAAAGGGCCTGACCTCTGTTTACATGCTGCTTTTTTTTTAACTTCATGCTTAGTATTGTATTTTTATTTTTACAATTCAAGCACCTTTTAAACACAGACTTTAATGTTTATAAAAACAGCGTGACTTTAAAGTGCTGCCATCACTGTCACAAAACAGAAAATAAGCACAAAAATAAAAAACACATTTCATCTCCTGTTGTGAATATCCATCATGTTTGAAGCCACTCATCATTTTTGTCCCTTTAATTTGAGAAGTTCTGCAGTAAAACAAAAATCTTGTGTTTCAATTATGGTTTATTAGTCATTCTTTGCATATTTATCCAACACAGCCTTGCATTAGTACAGGCCATAATGACTTATTGACTTTTTGACAACACATAAGAGTATGTTAGCTTTATGTTAGCAAGATTTAGCACGCCATAGAACATGTGTAATCCAAATTTGAATGCGAAAATTTAACATTTTGCATTTCTTGTCTCGTATTTGTTTGCATTCCTTCACAGCTGTCCTCGCGTAAAAATGTTTAGAGTCAAAACAAGCCCAGCTAGCACTCATTCAAGATGTGATTAAGAGGATCACTTCGGTTGTTTACCTTCAACACTACTTTAAAAGTTTAACTGAAGGTTAATTGCGGCGTTACAAATCAAAATGTTCTGTACCTTCTGCTGCCTGGATCACGCTGACTTCCAGTCCCTTAAACGTTTTGCTGGCCAGCTCCTCCAGCGCGCACAGCGGCGACGAGGGAGTGGTGATCCCGTTCCTCGCCGAGTTGGAGCCCGTCACTTTCTCCAGGACTCTGGGCGGACAGATACTGGCGGACACCGACTTCTTCACGGACGGTTTGTTTAGGATATCCTCAATGCTGAACGGCGTCAGAGGCTTGTTGGAGTTGGCCGGCGGCGGCAGCTGGTCCAGGGGAGCCCGGAGTCTCCTCTCCTCGCCGCTGGACTGTAACACAGAACCTGCCTTCATGTCTTTACTGGAGGTCATCGCAGTCCAAAAGAATCGCTGCTTCCACTGAAAAGTTGGTTATTTCATTCAAAGGGCAGTTTTTACGCGTCCACAAGTGTTTCCTCTGCTGCTCAAAGACCCCCCCACTCTAAAATGTTTGACACTCTCAGCCGAATGCCGCAACTCAGCTCTCCGCAGAGCTTTCCTCCAAAATAACCATGCTCCGGGCGTATAGTTGGAAAGGCAGCCGGACTGTATTCCCTTCAGAGAGTCGCTCTGCCTAGCTCCATGTAGATCTTTATGCACTCACAGACTGGAGGTGGAGAATCCCTGTAAGGAGAAAAAAGCTGTCCCAAGCAGCAAGAAGAAGAAGAACGCGACTGCTAACGAGTTATTGTTGATTGGGCGAAGTTCAATTAGAGAAACACTACACTCCTTGCTGACCCGCTGCTTGCGTCTTAAAGGGCCGGACCATAATAACTAATTGGACGTGGGGAGGAGGAGGAGTCTGCTGCTGCCGAGGAGAAAGATGCCCTCAAATGTCTATGCATCTGTTTCCCTCTGCTGGTGTGTTCTGCTAGAAAGGGAAAGTAAATGGTCATTTAAATACAGCCACCAGCATCTTTGCTTTGTGGAAAGATTAAAGGAATACCGAGCCAGCGTTGGTTCTCCAGCCGTGATATTCATTCTGTCATTTTCGTGCGTAATTACGCATTGAGCGTTATGCGTAATTTGCACATTAGACACTGTGTTGTAAAGCAATTCGGCCTAAAAAAAGGAATAGTGAACACATTTAAGGGTCATATTTTGAAGTGTATTAAATATTTTGTTACTAATAAAACTGTTCCACTGTTCAAGATGACAGCTGGTGGATTAAAAAAAAGTGTATTTATTTATCACAGCAGGTTGATCGTCTTTTTAAAACATACAACTATTAAGAAATAAAAGCAGCAGGAATCTTATTTATTACTAGATATTTAAAATATTAAACATGCGATATCTCTGCAAACGAGGCCACACTTTTCGTTTTTTTATTTTTATTTTATTTTTTTCTAAATAAGATAGTTAAAAGAAAAAAAACACTTTTTCAAATTGACATGTGTTGTTTATTTGTTTTTTTGCTGATCCTTTATTTTTCTTGTATTCGTCCTTGATTTATCACTCGTGCTTCCCTCTGACCCTGCAGGTAAAGAAGCCCAGTATTCCAGTGTAACTCAATGCGGCAGCGTGAAACAAGCGGATAATAAAGGTGACGCCGTGCTGTGGCTCACAGTCTGCGGGACGCAGAATGAGAGTTTTTACTGATGCAAAGAGAGACACGGAATTAGAGACAGAATCGGGGACGAGGTGGACGCCGAGGAGAGACGCAGGTACGTCTTCTCAGAAGGTAACACACCTTGCTTTATTAAAGGCTTGTCAGATTATCACAGTTACCTGATGTCGACTTTTACAACCCTTCATTCGTTTCAATGCGGCTCAGAGATTATATTGAACATGTAGAGAGAACGAAATGTACATTTTTATCCAGTAGAAAAATATAAAGGAAGCTTAAAAATGACAGCATTTAAAAATATGAAAATACTAAATCAGACATTTTAACATTAATCTGAACAAAAGCTTCTTCCTAATGTAAATATTTATATATATATACAAATATTAGCACGTGTTAAAGCTTCTCAATAAAAAAAAAATCGACATTCCAACTTTTACAAAAGCCTTAAACTGGATAAAACAAAATCTCTGAAAATGACTGTGTTTTTTCTTCGGACATGTTCAGAGTATTTTGGAGCCATTTGGAGAAAGCTTTCGTGCCGCCCGGGAAGCCACTGCGGAGAGTCTTGTGCCAACAGGAGCATATGGTGACATTGGTTTAGGGACAGAGTTATAAAACAGCAGGAAATTCTATTAGCTGCCTTGGAGGTCCTTCCTTTGAGGCTGCTTTGAATATATATTTCTGCATAACAAGCAGGGAGTTTATGGGGGTAAATTCAGTTTGGGAATTTTGGCAGAAACATGCCTCGTTTTAATAAAAAAAAAAAAAGAAAAGAGCAGGAGCTGAAAATCTGTGCTGGTCAGAACAGATTTACTGTCACGGTGGTTTGGATTTATCCTGACGTTTAAAGGCTTGAATTAAAAATGATGGTTTAAAAATATTTCAGTGCAAACTGTGAATTATATAAAATGTATTTGCGAGTTTGTGCAGAATAAATATTTAAGAGATTATTTTAAATATTAAAACAATTATTCTTTTTAACCAAAACGACATTATATTTGATTATTTATTTATTTTTAATGACTATTTTTTGTTTGTTATTTTTAACAGTAAGAAATGAAATTTCAATCTTCGATTAAATTTGTATTTTTTGTTTCCACACACTTTACCTGCTGCAGGCCTCTTTCATCCTCACTAAATTCATCTCTGAAGGTGAAAAATCCCCTTTTTTATTTTATTTTAGAGTGAATATTCAGAATGACAGAGATGCACCGTGCTGTAGATTATTAACATCAAATCCAGTGTAACTGTGAAAAGACCTGAACACCTCCCCAAACAACTGTCCAATCAGCTTACAGGCCTGAAGTGAAGCCGCGATGGTCAGAAATCTTCTTCTTTTTTTCTTAATTTAAACGTTAATTAGAAGCAGAGCAGCTGACATCATCAATCACCAGCTCTGGGGGGATTTAATTGGATGATTCGCGGCGCGTTTACGTCCTATCACAATCGAGGTCTTTTAATTCTAAGAAGGTGGTGCGGTACAAGAAGTCACTGTAAAAGAATTGTATCAATTTTTCCTCTTTTGTGTGGAGCTATTCATCAAACTCATTTCATACGGTTAAAAAAAAATCACAGCTCTCCTATAAATAATCAGAGGGGTAAACGTGCAGCACTTCATGTCATTCCTGAGCTCGATGAAATCAAAGCAGTGGGAAAAAACTCCCTCCCCTCGTGAAGGTCAGCCTTTCTCTCTCATTAATCACCAAATTAATCCAGTTGCGCTCCGGAGCGAGGATCAGGCACTACTAGCTCTCCGAGGATCAAATTCCGCCTCCATCGCAGCCTCGGAGAAGGTGATGACAAATGCAACAACTGCAATAATAATCCTGAAAATGTAATTGGTTACAGTGAGGCTGTTACTGGCTGCTCTGCGCGCGTTAAACTGCTCATCTGCTGCAGACTCTGGTCTGATATGCACAGCAAAAATAAAACCAGATAATCGGAGGAAAGACTCGATTAGTAAAAAAAAAGAAAAGTATGAAGCACTTACACAGAAAATAATTATAATACAGGGGAGCATTTAAAGGTATAATCATCCATATTTTAAATCATATTTTTTTGTTAAATCGATATAGTCTCTAAAATAACCAAACAATGTCGAATTAAATGTTAATTTTTATTTTACCACATTTCTTCTCAATTTCAAAACATGTATCACTACGAATTTAAAAGGACAACAAAACAGCAGTCAATGTCATTATAAAGCACCATAAGGAAATCTTGAGCCTATAGGATTTCATTTTTTTTTTTAAAAGGCTATACGTACAGTTAGATCGCCATACTGCTTATTCCTGCTAATTATTTGAGTGTCGTCCCCCCCGGATTATTACAGTTCTTTTATCATGAAGAAAGTCATTTACTGACGGGGTTAATTATTATTCAGCTTCTTGTGTAAAGGGCCGTTCATGCTCCGCTTTTGTCCCCTCTGCTGCAGCTCCTCTCAGCGTGCCGTCCTGTATCCTGAAAGCAAACAGCTGTAAACGCCTCTCACTCCAACATGACCCAGGAGCGGGCTGCAGGGCGCTGCTGCGGGTGTTTGTTCCCATCTTTAAGAGGCCTGTCTTCCGCTGTGAGACACGCCGAGAGGCTCGCTGCAAGGGGGCCTGATCAAGGGAGAGTGGACGAGGCCTCACGGCTCTCATGTTCACCGATGTCTTCTAAATATATATATTATATCTATATATTATATATATATTTAAGCACATATCATCTGATTTAGATGTGTAGATTTCCTATAGCATGGAGAATTTTGGAGCATTAAATGATCAACATAACAAGTTAGTTATTTCGAGTAACAGACAGGCTGGAAATAGCTATAATTAAAAGCAAAAAAAACAAGGAATACATATTGAAAATAAAATCTAACAACAAAAATATCATGGTTTAGTGAGAGACTATAAATCCAACTTTAAAAAAAGAAAATGTTGTTAGCCTAATTCCGCGCATGGTGAAGGTGCGGGATCCCTCTCATCAGACTACCTCCACCTGCTCGGTCCTGACTGTGTGACTACTAAGAAGAAATCTTAAATAAGTGTTAAAGTTGTCACCGAACATGTTCTTTCCAAGCTGCGCCTAAACGCACCATCACAGCACGAGACGCTCAGGTGTTCAGCGCAGCTTCCCCTCTTGTGTGAAGGTGACGTCAGTGATGTCCTCAGCTGCCATTGGTCATTAGCCGTCCTCCTGGTTTTACTCTTCTTCATTTTTTTTTTCGTCAGTGTGTTGCTGCAGGTTCAGTCGCGTTTAATTCTTCTTCGTCTGTTTTGTCAAAAGGTGTTGATTGCGTTTCTGAGTGTGGAGCAATTACAGCTGATTGACAGGATGTTATTGTCCATCAGTGTCACGCCGAGCTGCTGCTGGTGATATGAACTTCAAATCAATTTCTCTTCTTTTCTTTTATTTGATTTTGTGTTGAATGTTTTTTTTTTTTTTGTCAATTTAGACTCACGTGCGTCTAAACTTACTTTGAGACACCAAAGCAGCTTTTCTTTTCACTTTCATTTATCTGCCACTTGTTTTTCTAACTTATTTACTATTTTTCAAACCATTTCACTTGTTTGGTCCAACCAGCAGCAACCAGTACATGTTTAATAAGTGATCACATGTGATTCAAACCTGGACTTTTGAAGCAGTGACCTTTTTACTTAAAATCATCCCTGAAAAGATGAAATAATGACGTTCTGGCTGAATAATACAAATGTTTATTGATTTATTGAGTCATCAGATCAGCTTTAATGCACCCCCCCCCCCCCCCTTAACTGTTCTGTGTAAAACATATGAGAAAAGAATACACAAAACATCCTAACGGCCTTTTGAACATGAGGCCATCCTCAAATATAACAATAGCAGTTTTATTTCTATCGTATGTCCTTACAGATAAGCTCAATGTGCTTTACATTGAGGTTAAAAACAAAATCAAAACACAGCATACAAAAAGAAAGTGTTTCCACAGTCATTAATAATTCATACACACGACAAAGCAAACATCAGTTACCACAAAAGTGATCAAACATACACACACATACAAAATAATAATATGCTTTTGAGAACAGATAGGTTTTGTTTTAAAAGTAGAAACAGTAGTGATGGACCTCAGGTCAGCACTTTGTTCCAGAGAGAAGGACCACAGTAACTAAAGACCCCCCTCTCTGGACTTTGAT